ATACATATATACATATATACAGTATATATGGGGCTAAAAGGGGACATTCTTGACAGACAGTCTGATGTTCAGTGTTGTCAGTCGGTGGTTAATGATCTGTCTTCTGTAGACCCTGACCCTGTAGATGTTGGAGGATAATTGTATCAACTAAACCAGAGTCTGGCAGCTAAAACTTTTTGATTTTGTTGGTAACTACTGTTGTTTAAAGATCTGAAGTCATCCCTTGGTGCTGTACTGTGGTTGGTGCTGATCATACGTTTTTGGCCACTAAGAACAGGTGTGATTGAATGTGAGAAGCTGATAAATCCCTCCAAAGACCTCTGAAAATGTGTCCCCTCACTTCTGAGATGTGATCACACCCTTGTTTGTCTGTAAGTGTTACAGGAGGAAGTCTCTTTTTTCTATAAATTTGGGAATTGTTTACCAAAAAAAGCAGCCTCATAGAATAGAATAGATAAGAAACAGCCTTTTTTGTCCCGCGCGGGTAAATTACGGTGTAGTAGTAGCAGCACATACATCAATCCACAAAACAGTATGTTGCCATGTAACAATATCAATAGTAGCAACAACAATACAATTAAAGATTAAAGATTGTAACAATCAAAATAAACATTCATCAAAGTCAAAATAAGAGTGATAATTACAGTACAGGTAGTACCGGTCCATCAAGGAGAAATTAGATAAAAATGAAAGTCCAAAAACAAGGTACTGTGCAGAAAGATACATAATTACAGGAAATAACTTTCATGACTGACTTGTGCAAAAATGATTCAAACTTGGTCTGTGCATATTGAGTCGAACTCAGTTTGTGCAAATAATTTCAGACTCATTCATTAAGTCCAGTACAGGAAAAAACAGTGAACAATTATTATTATTATTATTATTGTTTATTATTTGTGCAATGATTGCAGGGTACAGTTGTTTGATGTGCAAACACAAGCATGTATGCTTATGATTGTTGCGAGCAGTGATGGTTATAAAGTCTAACAGCTGATGGGAGAAATGATCTGCGTTAGCGTTCTTTTGTGCATTTAGGATGCAGCAGTCTGTCCCTGAAGGAGCTCTGCAGATCAGCTACAGRTCCATGCATGGGGAGGGAGGAGTTGTCTGTTATAGATGTAATTTTACCCGATTCGTGGGGACCACTGCCAGGTCCCCACAAGTCCAAATGCAAATTACAGGTGTGGGGTTAGGTTTAGGACCAAGGTTTAGGTCAGTTTTAGTGTCAGGTAGGTAACCTGTCCGGTTAGGGTTAGAGTATATGGTCAGGGTTAGGTTATAAAGTCTAAAAAACATGAATGGAAGTCAATGGAAGGTCCCCACGGGGTTCAAGAACAAACGTGTGTGTGTGTGTGTTTACCTCAAACAGACGCAGGATGTTGGCCACCATGATGGACACGGAGCTGGCTGAGGCTCCTATCACACCCACCACCCTCTCTGGTTTGCGGATGATTGGTGGCTCTCCATTGGAGCAGCGGATGTCAGACGTGTCCTTCTGGATCAGTGCTTGGACAAAGGTGAGAGACTGTTCCAGGGCGTATGTGTCTCTGGAGCAGGTGTCCAGGATTCGAGCCCCCAGTGTGATGTTGGGCAGCAGCCCAGGGTCACTATTGACCTGGTCCAGAGCATACAACATGGCCTCCATGCGGTGAATTCCCTTCTCCTTTTTCAACTCACCACAGTTCACACCATGGGGGCCACGGGCATGAATGGGAAACAGCCCCCCCAGTGTGATGTCTCCAGGTATCTTTATAGAGTGGGGGTGAAAGTGCTGGTGGGAGGCCCTCAACTGGATCACATGTTCAGCAAACCAGAGCCAGAGAGCAGGCAGGAGGCGGAGCCACAGAGGGTAACCATGGCCTGATGATGTCATGTTGTGATGATGTTCAGCATGAAGCTTTCATCCTCTGTGAACACCAGAAGACATCAGTCAYTCATCAATCAACAAACGGATTTCTGTGGTCCACTGATGACATGAGTCACACACATGGATACTTTACTACATCGTCTCCACTCTGGGTCTTTAACCAAAATAAACTTTCATCAGGTGAACCTGAGGCACCAGCATCAGGAGGTTCAGGGTCTGCAGAGACCACCTGGCTCCTTCAGGAGGTTCAGGGTCTGCAGGATCTGCCTGTTGGTTCAATTTGATTTCAAAGCCTCTAAATGTTCTTGAGGAAACTGAACCAAAATCTGTGGAGAAAGTTCTGTTTATATGTTCTTTATTTTTAAAGGGTCAATATCATGTAAAATCAACTTTTTTGAGTTTTATGGTTAGGTCGACTCTGGCCCTTCTTATACAGGACATCTGTGTTTGTAGTCTCCAGCTTGTTGTTGAGGTGAACACCCAGGTACTTACCTTTATAAATCATTGATTGTTTGAATAAAAATATCAGTTAAATATATCATATAGGGGACAAACACAGTGATATTTGAGAAGAGAAATGAAGTTTATTTGATTTATTGAAAGTGTGCAATAATTGGTTAAACTAAATTAGGCAGGTGAATAAATTTGGGCACTGTTGTCATTTTATTGATTTCAAAACCTTTAGAGCTAATTTTGTGAACTTAAATTAGGTTTGTTAAGTTCAGTGACCCTTGACCTCCATACACAGGTGACTCCAGTTATGAGAAAGGGTATTTAAGGAGGGCAATAGTAAGTTTTTCTCCTCTTTCATCTTCTCTGAAGAGTGGCAGCATGGGAGTCTGAAAACAAAGATTGTTCAGCGTCATGGTTTAGAGGAAGGAGACAGAAAATTATCTGAGAGATGTTCCTGTCAAAACATTAATGCCTGAAAGTGTTGTGAAAAATGTTTTCCCCATGAAATAGTAGGATAATAAGTGGCTTTAATTGTTAATAGTAGTCATCAGGTTTTCTATCACAGTGTAATTACATTTGTTGTGTATTTAATTACATTTGTTGTGTATTTAATTACATTTGTTGTGTATTTAA